CAACAGCATTTGTCCTTGAGAAAGCTATCCCAGGCAGTGCTCTCATGTGCCTGACTAATGGGTTTGGTTCAGCAGGTTAAATTTTGGAATAATTTGTTATTAGGGTTGATGTGCTCCAGTTTGAAATTCTGGTGAAATGACAAATGTTTTTCACTTAGAGAGTAGCATGATGAAAGTCATCAAATTAAATCACAAGTTAAGATAACTAAGAGGTGTCAGGGGCAGCTAGGTGGCACAGTAGATAGAGCACCAGAGTTAGGAGGACCTGAGTTCAAATCTGGCCTCAGACACATAATACTTACTAGGTGTGTGACCCTGGGCAAGTCACTTAACCCCATTGTCTAGCGAAAAACAAACAAACAAAAAAAGATAACTAAGAGGTGTCTTCCAGCACAGTGACTGATGGCAAGGAAAAGCTGGCTTTCTCTGCATTCCCCTATAAATACATAATACTACATTTATTCAGGACATTTGAAAAAGTCAGAGAACTTCCATGGTATGTCCTACAGAACATTCTCTAGCTACTAACATATTTTTATCCCTGATTCTTTGATATTTGGGTGCCAGAACAGAACATTCTCTAGCTACTAACATATTTTTAGCCCTGATTCTTTGATATTTGGGTGCCACAAATGCCATCTTAATCAGTCTCCCTGCCTCTTCCCTCTCCGGCCCATCCCTTGCATATCAGTGACTTGTCTAAGATGGCTAGTCCAGGGCTTGTCCACAAAGCTTAGTAAGTAGTGAAAGAGCTGTCAGGACAGAGGAGACTAATCAGATCTCTGAACTCCCAGGCCATAGGGTCACAAAATAATCACTTCTGGAAAAGATCTTAAATGCTATTTAGTCCACCTCTTTCATTTAACTTACAGGGAAATTGAGGCCCAGAGAAAGAAAAAAACTTGGCCAAGGTTACCCAGAAAACTTATAGCCAAGTTAGTACTGAAGTGCAAGGCTTCTGTCCCAAAGTCTAGAATCCTTTTTACTACATCATGCTGCTTTCCAAAGGGGACAGAAGCAGAGACATGGCCATTATATTATGAATCAAACAAGCAGTTATTAAGTGCCTACTGGGTTGTTATAAAAACAAAAAAATGAAACAGCCTGCCTTCCAAATAGCTTAATTTTATGTGAGGGGGGATGAAAGGGAGAATGGAGACAGCTTGTACATATATAAGTATATACAAAAGAAATAGGATAGACATAGAACTTGGAATTTAATTGGTGTAGGGAACTCCCAGATGAGGAAATGCCATCCACCGAAAGAGGCTAGCACCTTCCCTGCAACTTACCTAGTCTTCAGAAATCACCTTGGACATTGAGAAGTTAAGTGACTTGCCCAGGGTCACATAGCCAGCATATGTCAGAGATGGAACTTGAACCCAGGTCTTCTGACCAGCTCTCTACCCAGCATGCCATGGTCTCTCATAGAATAAACATAAGGTAGCTTAGGAATAAAGACACAAATAGTTGGGGGCATCAGGAAAGATTTCATGTAGAATGTGGCACTTGAGTCTTGACAGAAGTAAGGAATTCTGTAAGACAGCCATGAGAAGGAAGTATAATCCAGGCATGAGGGACAGCCGGTACAAGTCATGGAGATAAGAGATGGATCACTGTGTACAGAGAACAGCAAGAAATCCAAGAGGACTTCTTTATATATAATGAAGAGGAAAAAGAGGTTGGGGCCAGGTTGTGTTGGGTTTTGCAAACCAGAGTTTATATTTGATCTTGGAGGCAATAGGGAGCGACTAAAGTTTATTGAGTAGCAGAGTAACTTGATCAGTTCTACATTGAGTCACTGGTAGCTCTGTGGAAAATGGATTGGCATAGGCAGAAACTTAAGGCAAGAAGACCAATATGGCCTAAACTAAGGTGGTGGCTGGGTGTGTAATGAGAAGGGGTCAGGTGCTAGAGATGTTGTGGAAGCAAAAACAACAAGACTTGGCAACTGATTGGATATACAGAATGAGAGAGTGAGGAGTCAATAGTAGCAGGAGTTACAACGCTGGAAGACTAGAAGAAGAACAGTGGTACCCTCAAAAGTAATAGAAAAAATTGGAAAAGGAATGACTTTGGGGAAAAGAGATTAAGTTCTTTTTTGGATACGAATTGGATATGTCTAAAGGACGTATCTAATAGGCAAATGGTAATGTAGAACCTAAGCTCAAGAGAGGGACTTGGGTGTAATCTCTGGGAGTTACATACAAAGAGAAGAAAATTAAGCCCATGTGAACCTATGGGGTTACCAAATGAGAGTGTAGAGAGAGAAAAGGAAAGAGTCATAGTTAGGACCTTGAGGTGCATCCAGAGTTAGGAGACTTGATAAGGAAGATGAGCCACCAAAAGAGAGTGAAGGATGGTCAGATGGGTAGGAGGAGAACAAGAAGAGTGCATATATGAATGAATGAAAAAGCACTTACTAAACACATGTACCAAGGCAGTATGCTAAGCAGTGGGGATGAAACCTCTCAAGGATCTCACACTTTCATTTGGAGAGAAAACACATAAGAGAAAATTCAGCTTCTGGGAAGAAGGAAAGCCTCGGTGCTATCATGAAAACTCAGGGAAGAGAGAATATCCATGAGACAGTGGTCAGCAGCATCAGATGCTACATAGAGGTCAAGGAGGATGACAACTACTCTTCCAAACCTCTATTTCTGTCACAGGTGCCACCTTTCTTCCAGTCTCCAAGGTTTGTAACCTTGGCATTATCCTCGAATCTTGATTCTCTCTCACTCCATGGATCAAATTGCCATCCTTGCCATTTCTACCTCTGCAACATGTCTCACATCCAAACTCTTCTCTGGACTCAAATTCAGTCCTTCTTCACCTTTCACCTAGATTATTGTGATATCTTGCTAATTGGTCTCCCTACATTAAAATTCTTTATTCCAGTCTCTCCTTCACATTGCTGCTAAAGTGTTTGTCCTTAAGTGCAGCTCTGACAAGGTGACTTCTCTACTCACTCTGTCCAGTGGTTTTCTGTTGCCTCTAGAATCAAATGTAAAATCCTCTTTTTAGCTTTTAAAATCCTATACAACTTCAGAAGACAGCAGATGGTGGAGTAGTAATCCAAGACTTCGGTTTGGCAGGGCAAACCGGTAGTTTGGTAGTATGAGGAGGCAAGGGATTCCAGAGAAGAGAACAGTGTAGAGTTGAATTGGTTCATCAGGGGGTCAAATGGAAAAGGAAGAGAGTGTAGCTAGTGCAGGGTGATAGCCTGGGAAAGGACTGAGGAATTAGAGTGATTGAAGATCACAGTGTGGATAAGAAACAGGGCTTGGGCTTGTAAGGGAGAGGGAGAAGTAGAATGACAATAGATTGAGATCATAAAAGGGAATTTCATAGTTCATGAATGTAGAGCATGAAAGTTCTTGCCACCACTAAGTGGTTGTGGTAAGATCTAGGGAGGCAGCCAAATGGCTTAGTGGATAGAGCATTGGGTCTGGAATCAAGAAGACCTGAGTTCAAATCCAGCTTAAGACACTTACTAGCTGTGTAACCCTGGGCAGGTCACTTGCCTTCTATTTGCCTTAATCCACTGGAGAACCAAATGGCAAACCACTCTGGTACCTTTGCCAAGAAAACCCCATGGACAGGTATTGGCATGCTGTGGTCCACAGAGTCATGAAGAATTAGTTACAACTGAGCAACAACAAAATCTAGAGCACTATATAGTTGAGAGTATGTGTACAGCTGAAGTGGGGTGCAGGATTAGGTCGTATGAAATGAATAAGGTAAGGAACTATACAGGTCCTTAGGGTGTTCGAGTATCCATGTGTATGGATGAAGGTTGAAATCCCTGCAGTATGAGGGCAGGAGTTGGGGAAGAGAGAAAGATTGTGAGCCAGGTATTGAATTGGTTGAAGAAAGGAGACTAGATGACAGCTTCCCAAATTGGGTATTAAACATGGATTAAGTGAATCTTAAAGGAGTAATGGAGATAAAGCCAAGAAGTGTCAATGAGGAGTGATGAGTATTCTAATTCAACCAGTGAATTGGAAGGGATGGGGGGGCGGGGGGGGGGGGCATGCGGGTGGGAAAGTGCAATCAGTGCTGGAAAGGATGGCCAGGGTGGCCGTATCATCAGGAGAGAGCCAATCTTAGTGAAAGAAAATGAAAGGAGCAAGAAAGAAAAAGATTAAAGATGAAAGCATATTTGCTAACTATGGAGTAGGTCTTTTAAAAAGCATAGTGGGAAAAAATAGCATAGCGGAAGGGACGAGTAGGTTTAGAGTAGGACATTAGGGGATAGGAATAAGGGAATAGGCAGCAGGGGAGAGAGAATGGAATTTAGCAATGGCAGTGTAAGGTTCGAAATCACTAAGATAGGGAAGGTATGACATGGTGGGTGCTTAGCACAGGTGGCTGGCACATAGAAGGTGCTTAATAAATGATTGGTTGATTGTTAATGATTGAGCAACAAGTTCAGGTGGGTCATCAACATCCCTAAGGGTTGAACCTCAGGGTGGAATCTTGTCAGGGCATTAGGCAGCAGCATGTAACTGGAAAGCTGGAAGGAGGAGAAGGGGATGAGGAGAGGTCCCTGTATGGGGCCAGACTCAGGCAGCTGATGAAAGAAGCGTAGTGGAATGGGAACCAGATGAGATGATGTTTCCCTCTTTCTTTACCAGGACTGGTGGAAGGAGTACAATGAAATGTCATTTCCTTCCTAATGTGAGAAAAGAGGTTTAAAGTATGGCTCTCAGTTTGGGCAAAAGGTCTTAGTTGTCAGCTTAAAGCAACCGCAGTGTAAATGAGGACTGCTATTACCTGAATGTGGGAAAAAAATGGGCTTTTGGCATGTTATAGAGGAAGATGTAGAATTTGTTAAAATATTGGGGGGTAGAATATGCCGATGACTCTGTTATTTCATGACAAAATGATTTTCCATTCCCTACCACCAACTCCCAGGATAGGAAAGAAAGCAAACACAAAATAAGTCTACTGACAGTTGAAGTCAGGTAGCTAAGATATTTTCTTTCTATTTGTTTCAGCTCTGTGCCCAAATGTCATGAACCAACGACACCTTGGAACTCTCAGGTACCTCTTCTACAAGAGGTTTGTCGAGGTATGCCTGCGTAGCACATGCAAGATGTTTATTGCTAAGAAGGTTTGTCTATGTAAAAAAGAAGGACCTCTACTTCTGTACTTCTAAGAAAATACAACGCAATTCAATTTAAAATGTTTCTGACCGTTGGACATAGAGTGCCTGGCATATAGTAGGCACTTAATGAATGCTTGCTGACTAATTGATTGATAAAGTCATCAAGAACATGGAAGAGAAATACAGTTTGCCTGTATCTCTATCAGTGGCTGTAGTTGGTCCATCATAAGCGTTTAATGCAGTGCCAAATTTTCTTTGGAATCCTGTGAAATCCTCCCCTCTGATGTACATCAGATTGCATCATCTGCACTGTAACCTGCTATTCGGGATAGCACTTTCCACTTGGATTCAAGGGTGCAAATTTTCAAAGACGATGCTGTTCTGCTTTCCGCAGCACAGCCAAATCTGGACTTCAGCCCCTTCAGATTGAACAAGAGGTTGAACACTTGATTGAATAAAAATGGCCATGACTGTGTATGTCTCATGTCACCTTAGAAAGCAAATGCCTAGAGTCCAGGGGCCATTTTCACTGTCCATTCTCACGGACTCAGAGTTCCTGGCTCTGCTCCTAGCTGTGCGACTTTAGGCAGATCATTTCATTCCTTTGGGCTTCAGCATCCTCTCCATAAAATCAAGCGATTGGACCAGATAAGCTCTAAGTCCCTCACAACTTTATCAGTCCATGAGTTGAGCAATGGCCTTGGTTCCTGCTTTCTTGGCATGGATAAGCTGGTGATGATAATACGTGTGCACATGAAAGGAAGCCCTGTGAGCCAAAGGATACATCTGAGTGGCTTCAGTGTGCGTCCTCTCCCCTGCTCCAGCGGGTCTCACAGGAGCTCACATCAGGTTGACTTCTAAGTAAGGGGAAGATAATACATCCCAGTTCCTAATAATTCTTCTGCATTCTGGGGTAAAGAGAAGGGCACTAAGGGAAACTGAAAGCACTTTTCACAGAGAAAATCACCAGCAAGCCAATTTGCAGGTGTTGCAAATCTAATAATCCTATTGAAAAGGCTCTCCAAGCCATTATCCATAGCCTGAGAGGAACATCATATTCCTGGGGAAAGTGTCTGGACTTTTAATGACCCAGTGCTCCCTGTCTGTAGCTCAGAATCCTTTTCAGGACAAGGATGGAGGCAGGCAATGTGGTACAGTAGAATGAACCTTGTCTCTGAAGTCAGAGGACCTGGGTTCAAATCCCACCACAGATACTTATGTGACCTTGGGCAAGTCACTTAACCTCCATGAGCTTCAGATTCCTCAACTGTAAATTGTGGGGGCTGGCCTAGATGACCTCTGAGGTCCCTTTCAGCTCCATGTCTATGATCCTATGGTCTCTTCTGATGGTTTTCAGCTAGAAACCAAATCGGGATTCTCTGGCACTTGGGATCATTCACATACATTAGAGGGTGAGTGATTTTTGGTTTTTAAAGTAGAGGACTAGAAGTCTCCTCGGGGAGTCTTCATCTCATGGCTTCTCCTGTACAGTAGAAAGTATGTATGTAGTGTAAAAAAGTAATTGCATTTTTCTCATAATGGATGTGGGTAGAAACAAAGAAAAAACAGATTGAATTCCTTCACATTTACCAAAATTTTTTAAAATGCAAGAAGTAAATAATTTAATGACTTTTGCTTCAACTTGTTTTGTGCTAAGAACATACTATTTGGCTTTAACACTGCATCAGTCTCCCCGGCGAGCGTCTGTCAACATCTCTCATAGCAGCCAGTTTTGAATTAGAGTCATGTGAACATATTGACTCACCACAAGGCAGAAGAGAGAGAGACAGAGAGACAGAGACTGAGGGGGTGTGTGTGGGTGTGTGTGGGTGTGTGTGTGTAACTGCATCACAACCAATACTCAGGGTAAAAAATAAATGTTACATAAAATCCTAGAAAAATTAGAACCATTTTACTCATCTTTAAGCTTGTTCACTGTGTTACCAAATCACAACCCAGGTTGCATCTGGACAAGTATACGAAAAGGCCACAATGAGGGCCTTAGAATGCCTATGAGAAAACAACTTCTTTCTTAGCTGAAGAGCTGGAGGGGGACCTCAGAGATCATCTGATTCAGTCACCTCGTTTTATGGTTAATGAAACTGAGGCCCCAGCCCAGGCTCACACAAGTCAAAATAGCAAACCTGGGATTTGAACTCAGGTCCTCTGTACCTAAATCCAGAGCTCTTTCCAATGTACCATGCCTGCCCATGAGTTAAGGTTCCATTGGGAATTTGTCCTTCTCCCCCCAGAATAACCTGACATCAGCCAATCATCAGAGTAGCCCTAATTGAGGATTGAAAAGTCTGTGTGAGAAGCTAGAGTTCCTGTGTTCCACTCTTCTGACGGAAAAAAAAAATTCACTGGGTATATTTTGAATTAGATATGTTGTCTTTATGGCTAGAGTTTGAGTGTTCACAGTAGAAAATGAGTCAGGTAATTTATTTCAAGTCAATTACTATGAATCTTGTGGTTGTGTGGAAGAACTGTCTTTCCCTCCATGTCTAATGTCTTTACACCAGGGGATTTATTTAAGAAGATAGTTATATTTCTGTTTTAATTGCTTTTCAGAAAAGCATGACCCAGGAGAATTGGGAAGATCACATTCAGGTGAGTTTAATGCAGTTTCTGTCTCTAAGTAATTAACTCATTCTAAACATGTGTGAGCACTGAGCTTGGAGCCTGGGACTAAACTCCCTTTGACCTGTTAAGTTAGGCAGTGGAGGCCACAGAATAAAAAGTTTTGGGGGATTCTGAAATGCATAACATAAAGTAAAGGTATCTTGCCAGCTTCCTAGGAGCCTGGCCATTTTTGCAAGGGAGATATATAGTCCCTTCTTAATTGTATGTATATGCATCTAGGTAGAAGTAGGAATTTTAATATATATATTTATTACTGTGAAGATACATAAGACAAGAGGAGACTAAAACCTACTTAGCTGTGTAAAAATATAAACTATAAGATGACACAGATTTGTTTTGAATGTGATAAGGCATATTTTTACGCACATCTGTCTTAAGGCACAAATCAGCCCTTCTGCATATGTACTGGTCCATTTAAATATTAGCAGATAGCCTACTAGAAGACCTCTGAGGAGAAAGCTTGAATCAGGGCTTAAAAAGCAATGAAGTTCATTTTTAACTTCGGTTGAATTCCCGAAAGCTGACAAAACTACATTATTGCTTTTTAACTCATTAAATTTTTTTGTTATTAACTGAATTGGTTTAAAGTCATAAATAAAAGCTTATATTCATACTTACCTTTGCATGGATGTCCATAAAACTTTTTTCTGCAGGTCCAGACTGGCTGTGGACAAATAAATCATTTGCCATATGTAGGGTCTGACATGTTCATCTACTCACAACTTGCAGGATCTGACATTCTTTCTCTCTCTCTCTCTCTCTCTCACACACACACACACACACACACACACACACACACACACACACACAC